TCTGCCTCCATCCAATGAGGCATGTTGCAGCTTAGATGTCTCTATAGAGCCACTGCATATGGACCTGGAGCTCTTCATGTAGTCATTGGATTTGACAATTTAGCAGGAAAAAATAATCGAGGAAAGAAAGGTCAAATGCATATATTCTTCGAGGAATTAATTTAGTGGGTTTCTCCAACATCAGTAGGTGGCATTTGGTGTCACCACAAATACGATGTCATTAAGGGCATCATACATAGAATTATCCTAAGTAGCATGAATAATTAGTTCGCTTGAGAATTTTATGCTTCTCATCATCCATTTTCCCAAGAAGGATTTTCCAATGGAGCATGGGTCCCCCTGGACTTTATGGCATTATTACTGGTAAAAGGGGTTTATTAGTTAGTAGATTACAGCATGAGTCGTGGGACCCTTTAAGAGTCATGTCCTTCATAAGGAGTATGGCCCTTCTGCTTACTTCCACACATCCTTCCATCCAAAGGGATCACATCCTTAACAATGAATGTTTTTACTTAGGCAATCGAGTGTGACTTGTTTGCAAAATGGGAGAAGACTTAGGCATGCAGTGACAATTCATGATATCCGTTCAGGATATGGAGCCTCACCTTGTCGGAAAGCTTAGATCCCACAATTGACCTGTTTTCACGTTTGAATATTTGATTTAATAACATATATATTCTGTTCGAAAAAATAAATTTTAAAACCCTTTTAAAATAAGATAATAATGCATTAAGGTAAGTTGGATAAAGTGATTTCGAGCTCAACAAACCTGCAAATAGATTTAGAAACACCTTTATTTTCAACATATTAATGCTTAGAGTTAATGCCATCTGGTAGGAAAAGGCAGGTCACCAAACTGGCCCAAGACATGTTTATATCCTATATGGGAAGTTAGATTGGTCATGTGAATCATGTAGTTGGTGAATTTTAGCCACTAATGCCTACACATGGATAGCTCTGCATAACATAAAAGATTAAAAGAAATGAATGGTGGGGGTACGTCACTAATCCACAAAGTCTACAAAGAAATAGTGTTATATGTGCCAACAACTGTAGATGAAGTTCTCCTCGGACAGGTTTCTATCTTTGGGGTCTCTTGTGAGACAAGAACATATTATATTGAATTTAGAGTATTAAAAAATGGAGCTGATATAGGAAATCTTTCTCAACTTTTCAATTCATATATTCTTGGACACCATGATGGTAAGGTGGATTAGATGATAGAGAAAGAGAGAAAGCTTATGACTGATGACGGCATTGATAGCGTTAGAAAGCATCTAGCTTTGTATTGTAGCTAGAGCACTTGGAAGGTGGTGCATCGCATCACTACCGTCCTTGCATGTATCTGCTGTCGGATAGTTTTGGTGCTATAAATTATCGATGATATAGTTCCAGCTGTTGCAAATCAATAACATGAAGAATCTAATTAAGGGATTAGAGATTTAATTTAGGTGTTTTTTTATGCAAACCGGACTGATACAACCCATGGGTTTGTTCCATGGTGAATATTTCTCATGTCCTGGTCTACTCTGGGTGTCATTCCCTACCTGGTCTACTGATTTCTAGCCAATAATTCTCAGTATAGCTTATCAAATAATTGCTATATTGGTCTCCCCTAGGCTGTCCCTTGTCCAGCTTTACACTTGATAAAACTTGAACTCAATTCTTATTATTAAGATTGATATGACCATCTTTTCTTCTTTCTTTTCCATTTAAAATCCAACTTAGGACATGTGGAAGAAGCAACACGTATTTGGCTTCTTTTGCATCTTTTCTAATACACCCAAAGTTATAAAAAGTGGGGATTTGAAAAACGAAAAGGAAAATGTTACACAAGAATGGGAAAAACAAATGTTGTAGTAAGTGGTGGCCCAAACCATAGTGGTAGCACCCGACCTGAGTGGACTCCCACCTTATCACCAACACTGGTCAGCTTTAATCTTGTTTACCTGTGCCGTGCTGCTACTCATTTCTCTTGCCAGTAAATGTCACTAAGTCCTACATCAATAAACTAATAACCTTTAATTAATTTCATAATGGGAGAGGTGCCTTTCCTACTAATTCATTCGTATTTGTTCCTTGGTGGCTAACTGATCAATGGGGTCTATCATGCTCAATTAGCATCAGTTTTCAAACTTTGTTTGGCTGAACCAACTAGTGGTGGTGATATTTCTTAAAACAAGATCTCATACGTGTATATGTCATGACTTCCTTATCTCTTTTTTAACTTTTTGGCTGTAAAGGAAAATCAAACCCCACTCCACCAGCTTTGTCTAAATGCTTGGATTTATATAATCTTTTTTATGCTCATTATAGATTCGAACAATATTTTATATGCTTGATTCAACTCATGTTCATCCATATCTTACACGTTAGGGTATATGCTCAAGAGGGTTACTATTAAATTTTTATATAGTCCAAAGGTTATGGACTGGGAACAGAGGGACAGATATTTTGCGTTTAAAGAAATACTACTGTTGCCTTACATTGCTTTATGATATAAACTATCATTTTACTTTTGAATGATTTCTAAAAATATAAGCAAACTCAATTCAGAATCATGCTTGTATATAAGTAATCATTATGCACCAGTTCATGGAATCTTCCTCTAAGACGAGGTCCAAAGAATTTGGGGGGTAGTTAACTTCATCACTTGTTATATTGTTAACAACTGTAATTGCAATCTTTAGACTGGCTGCAATATATTTGGGGGGTAATAAGTTGTGATCTGAAGCCTAGATTGAGAACTTCAACTTTCTGCCTTCAATTCATAAAAAAGGGGCCAGAGAAATGACTTGATGTGCTAAATTTTCTCCTATATATGTTTCAGGTGTGTGTAAACTTGATGGTGTAAGCGAGAGAGAGAGGCCGAACGTAAAGCAAACTCTTATTGCTTCTTACAACACGCTGTTGGCCCCAAAAGTAAAAGCTGCTTGCATGGAGATCACCACTGTTTCAGCAAAAGCAACACGGTTGAAAGGAAGCCATTCATCTAAAGAACACAGGCAAAGCAATACAGTTGACCTCTCTACTTGGTTCCATCAATTCAGCATTCTGTTTCAGAGAAGCCTGAAAGAAAGAAAGCATGAATCGTTCAACAGCCTCAGAGTCTTCCAAGTGATCACTGCTGCAATATTAGCCGGTTTAATGTGGTGGCACTCGGATTATAGAGACATTCAAGACCGCCTAGGTCTCCTCTTCTTCATTTCCATCTTTTGGGGAGTGTTGCCATCGTTTAATGCAGTATTTGCATTCCCCCAAGAGCGTGCAATCTTCATGAAAGAGCGTGCTTCTGGTATGTACACTCTATCTTCCTATTTCATGGCGCGGATAATCGGAGACCTCCCCATGGAGCTTATTCTTCCCACAGTTTTCCTTATTGTGACATACTGGATGGCTGGCTTGAAACCCGATTTGGTGGCCTTTCTTTTGACACTGTTGGTTCTTCTCGGCTACGTGCTTGTCTCTCAGGGCCTTGGCCTTGCATTAGGCGCAGCGATCATGGATGCCAAACAGGCTTCAACCATAGTTACTGTCACCATGCTAGCATTTGTTCTAACAGGAGGATATTATGTGCATAAGGTGCCATCATGCATGGCGTGGATCAAGTATATTTCCACAACGTATTACAGCTACAAGCTGTTCATTAATGTCCAATACGGCGAAGGCAAGAAAATTTCGTCCATGTTGGGCTGCTCACACCATGGAAGAAGTAACACCGTTAGCTGCAAGTTTATTGATCAAGATATTGCAGGGCAAATTAGCCCTGAACTGAGTGTGGCCATCTTGCTTCTGATGTTTGTAGGGTACAGGTTGTTGGCTTATCTTGCCTTAAGGCGCATCAAAGGTTGAAGCCAAGCTTTGTGTTAGTTTAAACAGGTTTCTTGTTATTCTTATTGGCCCTATAATTGTAATTTTCCAAACATGGCGTACAAAAGGATGGCTAGAAAGAAAGATTTGTTCAGGGTGTCTAGGGGGACCTTGGGATCAAAGCTAACTGTAACTGAAGAAGAATCAATAGTAAAAGTTTGCATGCAAAGGTTTGCAACCGCATTGTTTTTACTGTGCTCCCTTCATTAGCACGAGCTCAATGATTCTATCAGTAAAGCACTTCATATAAGCCTAGCCTCACTAGCTATGACTTAATGGTTGTCTTGCCACTTGCAGGAGCTTTTAGATGGGCTTTCTCCACCCAATTTGGGCATAAGATGAGGAATCGGATATTGGGTTTTATATTCTAGACTGATTCTTGCTCCGGATGGGCATGTTATAAGTTGTTTGGGCAAGTAGGTCGAAGCTTAGAGGGGCTCAGTTGGCCCTGAAATTTTTTTTTCTGAGTCCAAAGTGACCTTATTTGTATATAAATCACTTATAAATACAGCCTTGGGATAGCATTGAAGCTATCATGAAACGTATAACACTTGGATGCCACTTATGACATATGAAAACATTAAGGATTAAAGCAATAAAATCACTAATTGATAGACAACGCCTAACACAACACAAATACCATTAGTAGAAAGGTTAACAGGAGGGGCAGAGTCTTCTCCATACATCAACATTATTCTGGGAGCATAGTGAGGAGAGCTGCCACACACAGAAATCGTCCAAGGGAGGGCAATATCAACACTCGAGCTCATTGAAGCTGATATCCAGCCTTCATCACCACCAAGCTCTATTTCATTAAGAATGATCTGTTTGTCCCAAGACCATAAATTATGGTCTGCAGTCCATGAAAGTGCTACATTGGAATCAGACTCAGTGATCAGCTTTTCCGCTCCCACCCATGAAGATGATGCAAAGCATTGTAGAGCAAATTTAATTCTCGTCAACTAAGCATGGCGTCGAGTCATGGATTCCCAAAGGATTAATGAAAACTCCATGAATATGTCCTAGGGAGTCCCTCAACACCGCACCACATCTAGCTGGTCTCCATTTTCCTTTGGTTAATCCATCCACATTGAACTTCAATTCATTTTTACCGAGTGGAACCCAAGAAGCTCCCATCCTTGCTACTTGAGGAGTGTGGGCAGCTTTACATTGCCATGGTTCAAACAGCCTCCTCAATCGCCTCATGCACTTCACCACCTCTAATTAAAAACATGGCCCTCATTTTGGCAAGAAATAGTGTTTCTTTTTAGTCTCATGTTTTACCATTAAACATTGATTCATTTCTAGCCAACTCTATTGACCACAGGGTAGCACTACACATTATAAGACATCTCTTCTTAGTGCCATTCCAACATGAAGAGTCAAACCATGGCTTAATAAAAGCTTTAGCAGAATGGGGGGATAATCCAAGATATACCCCACCATTGCAAGACAAAACACCAAACAAGCCAACTATAATGACATGTAACAACACTGTGTTCACATTTTTCCTTAACGATGCTATGCTGACAACAAACATCACTACCAACATTCACATCTCTAGTTTTGAGAAGGCTTTTACTGGGGATGCCATTTAAAATGACAAGCCATGGAAAATCTTGCATTTCTGGGGAAATAGAAAGTTTCCAAAGAGATAAAAACCATATACTTATTGGTTTGAAGGGATTGAGACAGACTCAAGGGCTTTCGAAAATTGCTTCACCAAAACATATAAAGCCCGTCTCACTCACAAGGATAATGTTCTCCAAGGGATATAGGAGCTAGCTATGGTGTTGGCTAGCTGGTTACAATAAAAATCCGCCACCTTTACTTCCTTTTCCAAGACCAAGTAGAATAGTCAAGGAAACGTAACATTGAGAGGTATATTAATATACCTCGACCATTGTCCACTACCCATGGACAACCTTCCAACAAGTTTGTCCACCCCCTCAGAAGTTGGAAATATTTCGCCAAATACTTTGACATTTCTTCTCTTTTTGCTGATAATGGTATAGCTACCTAAGATTCCCATTCCCATATTTCTCAACAAGAAGTCGACACCAAAGAGCATTCATCTCGGTATGGTATCAAAGTCAATTCTTTTATGGGACAAGTTTGTGATACCAAGTCCCTCAATATTTCGATTTGCAATCTTCTTTTTGTCATCACTTCCCCCTTCACAAGAAATTCCTTCTTAATTGCTCAAATTTTGGTAGAACAGTTTTCATAAAAAGATTAGCGGAAAATGATGTATTTTATAAATCATGTTGTGATTTAAACGTGTAATTACCTTATTTTGCTTGAATGAATATTATGGTATTAACAAGTATGATGATTGAATAATACTTTTAAATGAGAGAGAAGTAAGAACTAAGTTGATGAGAGTGATCCTTCCTCCAAAAGATAAGTATTTCGTGTATGAAGAAATTAGTGTTGTTGCTAGCTTGCATCTTATCGTAAATTTGCCATGTTAGAGGCGAAGGGAGAGAGGCTAGTAGGTAACCTCGTCCTTCTAAAATTTAAAATTTATATTTTATTCTTTACTTTATTTTTAAATTTTATAATTTTATTTCTTCAAATATTAAATTTTTCATTTTTCTCTTTTAAACTTAAAATTCTAATTCCGTCACTAAGTCATGTCCTTTCCCACATTCTCATGCTTGGCATTAACGTGATTGAACCTAAGCAACCTCCTACAACTTTCTTTACGCCTTCTTTAACCCTTTCAAACTCTTATCCCAATCAACTTTGACGTAAATCATTCACAAAAAAGGGTTGAGACATGATTCCAAGTTTCAACTTCGTTTCGTTGTCAAGATTCAGACAGGACTGTTGGGTGCGTGATGGAAAGAAGAAAGAGCCCAAAATTGGCCGAAGCTGGCACGCAAGTAAAGCCTGGGGGCCGGCTGGACCCTCTCAGTCATCACATGCACAACAACAAACGAAACCCAAGGCAGAGAAAGTAGGGCTTTTAACCAGATGCACGTGACCCATGTTTTGTCCCCTCGTCCTCCATGGGAAATCCCCATGGTACTCTGCTTGCCAAAGGATTAGGAACAGGGTTCATAATTGGAATTTAAAGGTAAATTTATAATTAGATAAAAATATTTAGTATATTATTGCAATTTATATTAAGATTATTTTGTTAAATCATTTCTTTTTTTTAACTCGATTCAACTTGTTATAAATTTCATAAGAAAGATTATGACTTTTTGAAGTAAAGATTGATTTATATATAATATTTAGGTACAATGTGTGAAAAAATCTCTAAATTATTTTAAAAAATTAGAATAAATCATTGTTCTTTTATTGTCTTTATATTTTTATTTTAGATCAAATAGGTTTTTATAACTAATGGTTGATTAATTGATATTAGTCAAAATGCTACTTGTTATTTTTATATCTATATGGTACTGACATAACAGGTGACAAATGTTACATGATCATGTCATTAAGCTGCATTAATATGTCATGCTATCATTTATTATGACATATCAACATGTCACATTAACACCATATGATATATAATGACAAGTAGTATTTTTGACTAATAACAATTAGTTAATCATTACTCATAAGAACTTATTTGACAAGTACTATTTTTAAATATACTGCTTAGTATTTTTTATTCAACATTATAATGTAGAACAAGAAAATTTTAACCAATTATAAGATGTCAAACGTCTTTTGAAATTGGTAAATTAAAGAATTTATCAAAGACAAATTATGTACTGTTATGCGAATTTGATGACATCATTTAAGTTAACCATGTAACTAATTGCAAAATAATTAATTAATTTTATTAATTGAAGCTAAATACATATGATTTTGTCAATTAAAATTCAGTTACGAGTCATCTAATTTATCTTCAAATAAATTAAGATAATTCAGAGATAAAATCCAAATTTGGCCAATCAAAATTTAAAGATTCAAGTTTGACAAATTAAAATTCATCATGCTTTTTATCTTTAATTAAATTAAAATAATTTAAAGATAAAATCAAAGATACTAATTTCTCATTGAATTCTTTCATCTCATCTAGCTCAATCAAAACTATTTTTATTTCAAAGACTCAAAGTTTGACCAATCAAAATTCAAAGATTCAAGTTTGATCAATTAAAATTCATCTATGAGTCATCATGCATTTTATCTTTAATTTATTAAAAATAATTTAAATATAAAATCAAAAACACTAAATTCTCATTGAATTCTCTCATCCCATCTAGTACTATAAATACAGTGCTCATCGAAGCCATTTGATGTAATCGTATAAGAAGATTTTGATAAACAAAGTCTCCAAAACTCCCTTATATGTTTTCCTTTTTTGATATACATAATAAGGAAATTTGAATCTACATTGTTTTCTCCTTTTTTTTTATTTTATTAAAACCCATATTCCTTGGAGACATTCAAATTAACCTATTAATTACTAAAGTTAGATCCTTAGTGTTTCATCCTTAATATTTGAAGAAAGAAATTCAGTTTATATTTGGAAATAAATTAAGGCAGCTGCTTTTCAAGGTCCTTTTCAACACATATGGTGAAAGGTGGGTTGTCAATAGAATTGAAAACTAAAGAATTAAATGAGTATCTTAATTAGGAAAATTATAGGGTTTTTCTTCATAAATAAGAGATTGTGTCAAACACCTCTTATGCTTCACTTTCATTGTATTAATTTTTTGAAAGGGACAAAAAGCTATATATATACAATCCTTATTACAAAATTCAATTATGAGTCTACTCTATTTACCTTTTTCTTTTAATTTAAACACATTGGTAAAAATTTTGAACCCCATTTGTACTATTAAAGATCCCTTTGTTTTAGCAATTGGAGATTTATAGACAGGACTACATGTAGGGGCGAGCATTTGGTTAATTTGATTTATGCAGTCAAAAAATCGAATTATCCGACTTCACTGATTTTTCTTAGAATTTTAAGTAAATCAATCGATTTTTATCTCTTTACTGACTGAACAGTTAACCAATTTAACCGAATTTTTTTAATATTTTCATTTTTTAGTTTTTAATAATCTTTTTAGATTAATTTCAGATAAGCGTCTTATGCTTCACTTTCATTGTCTTAATTTTTTGAAAGGGAAAAAAAAAGACTACACATACAATCATTATTACAAAATTCAATTGTTTTGGCCTTTATTTTAACAATATATATATATATATATATATATATATATATATATGAATTGCATTAGAACATTTGGCTTATTGGTTGATACATTATTCCCTTGCCTAAGGAGTAGGGTTCGTTTTATCCTTTTACACTATATGGTGATATTACGTACATAATTTCAGCTCTTTGATGGTTTTCAATTCATTTAAATGAAATGAATAAATTACCCAAAAATCTTAATGAAATTGTTAATAGGATCTTGATGGTAGCATTGTTTTTGTTCGGGATAAATACAAACCCTAAATTCTATTGTTTTGTTCTTTCTTTAATGATATTATTGATGAACATTTCTTTAATTAAATGCATAGAATCTATAAATAAAAATAATGGATTAAA